CTTCTTCTTTTTCTTCTTCTAAAATAGAGATCATGCATCATACATCAGACCAAACACTGCAACCAAGTAAATGTGTGTTTGCGTAGGTTTTAGTGCAACCTATGACGACATAGTCATATATTAATCTAGGGCTTACCCGTAATGGATGCGCTTTCAGTAGTAGCTTCATTGGCGCCGTTAACTGACATTCAATAACCAAACAATATCACACAAGATTACTTTGAATTTTATTTTTAAGCATTAAGGCAAGGGGTTAGGAAGCAAGTATGTTTGCTCTGGTGATCGTCTTATTATATGTGAACTTGAGCGTGCTTACTAACTTGAACCACGCAAAGCGTTGTGCAAGGCAGACAACATGTCTTAATCTTCTACGTGATTTAAAACACAAGGATGCAATAATGGCGTACGACACATTACGACTGACTCACAACCAGTAAACAGTATAATCATATTATAGTTATTTTAAATATTATTGAGCATAATGAGCGAAGACGTAACCTGACATAGTTGTGTTAAGAGATTCGCATGAGCAGCTGAAATTCTACGCTGACATCGAAAAGGAGTATGATTTTTAGATATATGCATTCTGTTACCGGTACTTTTAAGCAGATCTGTAGCGGTTCTGCAGGCCGCATCCTTTTAACGCAAGACGCCACAGGCTAGGTCTTGTTTTGGCAGTCGTGGTCACCCAGTCGAGGTAGACCCAGCGCGATGGCCCATATCCGCATGCGATGCGCAACGCTTGCCCTCGCGCGACTCATGCGCACACAAAATATACAGGGGTCAGGCCAAACATCGTCCTGACAATGACTAATACAGAGCCTGCTCTGGGCCTTTGTGACAATTCCCGCACTGACGGACACTCCGGATTCCACCCCGTTAGGGGTAGACGCAGACAGCATCGTTGGCCGGTGTAACGAACCAAAGCCCGCACACGGCCCTAAATGTCGAACGAAATGCCAGGCGGAATAGCAACTTACTCCTAACTCTTGTGTACAGAACGTGTTTTAAGGCATTACCGGCAAAAATTAAGGGACATGCATGATACGTATTTCTACCGCATCCGGTGTCATTATGGTCAGTTTCCCAACACCGGCGTAGCCGCGGACATTGCCACCTCATTCGATTTTCGAAACCGCGTCTCTCCGGCCAGGGGCAAACGCCCCAACTATCGAACCGACAATTAGCCGGTTCTACTACGTAATATTACACCGATCTGTGGCAATGTACTAATCCTTGTTGAAGCCTGTGTGAGCTTCGCAACTCCAAGCATATGTGGGAAGTTGGAGGGTAATTTGACTTACAAAGTTTTACTTACGTTTTAAGTAATTACCGAAAAATAGAGAGAGGCTAGGATAGCTATTCCTGGGTTACAAGTCATCATCAGCTAGCGATATTCAACTCCAGTGTTGCCGGTGAAATTGCTGCCACACTCGAGTTTCCAACTCGCGACCATCCGATCTGACACAAAAGCCCTATTACGTCACGAAACCGCTGTCTTGCTGTTTTTTCATCGAGAGTATATAGTAGAAGGTAATTCTACACCAATCTATTTTAGGATGCAGTCCTCATGGTTGATGCATTTGCGGCTTTGGCACATCCAATCATATGTCGTTAGGCGAATAGAAATGTGACTTACCAAGTTTCAGTAACGTTTTCATTTTATATATTAGGTTCGGGCGTTTGCTTCTGACCGTAGAGACACGTGTTCGAAACTCGAGTGTGGCAGCCATTTCATCGGCAACACTGGAGTTGGGTATCACTAGTTGTCGACGGTTAATAAGCCAGGAATAGCTGTTCTATTGTCTCTGTGTTTGTCCGTGGCATCTTTAAAATGATGCTTTGTTTCTTATAATCAGGCTTTCCTAATACTTCTGTCTCCTCCCAA